AGCCGGCCAAGGGGCGCCCGCGCTTCCAGGTGAGGCCCGCGGCGCGGGCGCTGGGCTGGAGACGCCGCGCTGCCCGGGTGTGGCCCGGCGGGGTGCGATTTCGGATGACCGGGGACGGGTGCAAACGGGAAAACGCGGCGAGGTGAACTTGCTGGCGGGACCGCCACTTCCCGGGGGCCCCTGCACCATTTCCTCACCAAATGTGGCAAAACCCTTCACAGTTACGCCGGGGGCCTGAGCGTTTATCCTCTGATCGTGACCTGCACACCTCGAACCAAGTTGCCCTGGCTTTCCAAAGCTCCCCGTTCTGAAGCCCGGGACTGTCCTGGGTGGCTGCCGCACAGTGGGCAGCTGTAACCCGCCAAGTTAGAAAGGCAGGAGGGTGGGAAGGAGTCTGTGTGGCGTTCCCAGTTATCTTGGGTCTGCGGGCTTGGCGGCGGGAATCGGGAAGCTGACCCGTCGGTCTCCGGCCACTGCGGCGCACAGCTGGGTGTGATCTCGGGCAAACCTGAAGCTTCTCGGCCTTTACGGCACTTACTCACCTGTGAAGTCCCATTAAGTGCTCTCAAATTCCTATAGTTCTAAAGGCCGACTTTTGAAAACTTCACAGCTTGTTTCTCACTGGGAAGAAAGAAGGGAAGCTTGAGAATAAGGCAGTACTCCTGTAGTTCATACTCAATGGGCCGTGCTCAGAGATTTGTGACACTGCTGATGGATGGAAACTCGGTTAGTGTAGAGGACTTGGATCATCTCATAATCTCAGATGCAGAGTCTTTCTTTTCAGCTTGACTCCATCTGTGGATGTTCTAAGATTAAACTTTCTGCACAGAAAGCCCTACCTGAAGAATGCCAAGCTTTGAAGAACACCAGATGTCTGGTTTTTCCCTTGTCTGGCTATGGAAAACACTGACTTGGCAACTAGCCTTATTATCAAATTAATCGGACATTTACACCGTTTGGGGCCCATTCCTTGCTTATTGGATTGACTTAGCCATTAGCTTACTGTGTTGTAGAGGTTTACCCAAACCTGACCTTACCTTCCTCAGTTGCCTGCAATAAAGTTGCCAGTTTTAAGCAGCAAGTAGATCCTTCCCAGCTTCACAAATGCAGGATAAATGATGGTGTCATGTTGGGTAACCTCTCGTGTCCTGTTGTTCAGTTCTTAGAGCAGAAATATGGCTATTATCACTGCAAGGACTGCAACATCCGCTGGGAGAGTGCGTATGTGTGGTGTGTACAGGGCACAAACAAGGTAAGAGACACCGCATAACTGGCGTCTTTCTGTTGAAGTTTCAGGTGCTTTGCTTTACGTGTATTGTTTCTTATCACAGGTTTACTTCAAACAGTTTTGCAGAACTTGTCAGAAGTCTTACAACCCTTACCGAGTGGAGGATATCACCTGTCAAGTAAATCAAATGTTTGCATTTTGTGTCTCAGTTGGGTAGAGGAAGAGGGTTATTTTCTTGACTGTATTTCCTAAAAGAGGCTACTTTCCTAGTGATCTTAGGTTTTCATTGCTTTTTGCTAGGAGTTGTAGAAATGGTGCCGAGATGATAAAAGCTTCCTTCTGCCCTTGGTAAAAATTTTTGCAGTAGTATGGAAGAAAGCTGGCCTGTTAGTCTGTAAGAGAAAGCAAACAAAAACAGAATACTGTCCTAACTTGAGGTGGCAGATGTTGGCTGTTTCACCCAAGTGCTGCTTAGGACAGCCTAATCAATGCTGTTCAGTCTTGGGTATTGAAAGCATTAACACCTTAAGGTGTTACAGAAACTAAGTATGGAAAACCATTCGGAATCTCTTAGGTCAGGCACCCTGCCTAAAGTAAGATGCCTGAGTCACTCGGCTCTTGCCTTTTATTGACCAGTTCGTCCCCTACTTGTTTTCTACTCTTCCTTCGAGTGCAAGAAAAGATCTTTTTCTTAAACAGTTACATAAAAAACTTCGCCGCTGGGCACTGATCCACTACAGTATAGCTGACACACCCTCTTCCTAAACCTGTCATTGCTGGGCAGGGGTGCAGACAAGATTAGCACAGGTCGGTGCTTAGCGCACATTTGCAAGTATTTGAATGGACTAGAAAAATCAGTGTGAAGTCCTAGGACGTCCCCAAGAGTTTTATCTTTTCTATGTACTTCTCACTCTGATTTTTCAGAGTTGTAGAAGAACTAGATGTTCCTGCCCAGTAAGACTTCGCCATGTGGACCCCAAACGTCCCCATCGTCAAGACCTGTGTGGGAGATGCAAAGGCAAACGCCTGTCCTGTGACAGCACTTTCAGCTTTAAATATATCATTTAGTGAATGTAAAAAATGGTTCTGCTGAATGTGTGCTAAGGGAGCAGACGAGTGAGCTTCCCCCTTGCCTTCTCTCCGCCTCTCCCTCCTCAAAGTACTTCCGGAGAGGCAATGTATTTGGACAAAGCCTTCAAATAAAGGGTATCGCAAAACAATTTATAAGTTGCATAAAATCTTCTGTCTCTTAAAGTTTGAGGAGAGCTTGTCTTGTGCTACCAGTGTGGGCCTGTCATCTTGTAACCTCTACCGATGGCATAGAGTGGGCCAGGCTGGTGGGGGTTAAAAGCACCGGAGAAGCAGTGAGAGTGTTCACAGCCCTGCATTCTGCTCAGGTCTGCAGTCTGATGTTAACTGAATTAAAAGCTGCCCAACCATCAAAGTAAGCTGGCTTCCAGGCAGGTAGAGGCAGAGTCACTCCTTGATGGCAGCTAACGCAGGAAACAGAGGCTGCTGGATGTAGATAGGAGCGTCAGTGTCTTTAGGTTGGCTTAGGAGGGAAACGGCTAGGGGAAAACAACCCACATCAGTCAGTGCCACCGGTGTGGTCTGAGTGAGGTTTGGAAGAGTAGCTGTGGGCAGTTGACTTAGGTGAGTATCAAACTCAAGTAGACTTAAAGCGGTAACTTTTTTTAAAACAAAGTTTTATTTTTTATAAAGCATTGTAAAGACTGAGTTAGACACAGATGTTAGCCTTCATTGTCCTTATGAACTTGTAGTCAGATCTTCCTTCAAACTACCTAATAGATTTCCTAAGTGGACCACATAGCCAGACTGTCCTGGTCATAGGTGGCGCCGGGTTTAGAGCCTCGTGGATTTGAATGGAACTGGGGATACAGAAACCTCACAGTTGGAGCCAGGTGCTGCAACTTTTCACTGTTCTAAACACTCTACTTGTATAACTGAGAAAAGCAGTAAAAGTCAGTTAATATCTTGGACACTGGTATGTGGTCAGTGGGGCTAAAAGCCTAAAATGGGCTTGAGATCTGTCTGTATCAGGGGCTAGGCCCCTTTCGCCACTACGGACCTCAGCGGTGCCTGTCAGAGTGCACAGCCCCAGGCCCCCATCCCTACTGTATCACTACTGAGGTACCTGACAGGCACTGAGGTGCTGCCAATGGAAGTGAAGCATGAGACCACTCACTTGCTGAGCTTTGTGCTGAGTACAGAAAGTAAGCCTCCAGCCTGACGGAGCTTCCAGTGTAGGGGTCCTTGTCTGCAAGGGGGCGGTCCCAACGTGGGATAAGGGAGCACCGCTAGGGGAAATGCCTGTAGTACACAGTGGGTCTGACCTGGGAAGGCCCACTTAAATGACTGGGCTGAAGTTCCAGGTAGGCAACGAGGACGGATACATTCTTCATGCGAAAGCGACATGTCCAAAGGTGTGGTGGTGGAGGAGATCGGAGGCCACAGAGGAGAGTACTCTGGAGGACACAGTAGCAGGTGACCCTAGCAGGGCCAGGTGAGGATTTTTCTCGACTGGTCTTTAGTTATTAATGAGAACCCACG